CATTTGACATATCATTTGATCAAGTGAACATAACATGAGAATGGAGAGACAAATAAAAATATTTAAATCCATTATTAATTATATTTTTTTAGTACTTATCTTTACTTATAAGAACATCAAATGTGCATAAATTAACCTCTAAAGTCAATCGTACGATTTATATTTTTCTTAACCGTTTATTCATTTTCAAGAAATTTATTTATCCATATATTTTCATCTGATTTTATTATAATTTCGAGTTTATTATTGGGCAACTTGTGAAAATTTATGTGAAATTGTGTAAAAGACAATTTTGCTTAGAGTGTACATAATTGGCATTTAACTACAAATTCCTAAGCATATAAATGGTTACAACCATCCATTGATGTATGACGTGCTATCATCACCTATCACCTACGTCGAAGTTTTATTTCTTCGATGAAAGTTAAATATAGTGCCGAGATTTGAATTATTATAAAACAATTTTAAAAAAAAGTGAATGTTACGTACACGTGTAAATCTATTAGACCACCACTAGCCTCCACCAGCCACCCTAAACGGCTAAACCTCATATTTGGGGCCGGTGGTGTAGTAGTATTGAGCGATTTATTCATTATAACTTTCAAAATGTGAACACGCGTCTCTCACGTCACATTATAATAGTTATTTGGATGGAAATTGTCAATTAAAATCGATGATGCAATAACCATTAAATAATTCTTCATAACAAATTCATCTAATGTGTACGCTATCGTTGATACAATGCATGATGCCATGTGAATGTATTTTATTACAGAAAATGTTGATTGGGTTGAATTGGATTTTGGGAACACTGAATCAATTATAAAGAGAAGGGATTTTGATTCCTCTTCTCCTAGGGTTTAGCAGTTGGACCACTTTGAACCATATATAAATTGTCTTGATTCCTAAAAATTGATTCGATCTATACACGGGGTGGACAAAAAAATCGAAAAATTGATCAAACCGACCAAACCAAATCGAGTCGGGTTGATTTGAACCAAAAAAGGAGATTTGATTCAGTTAATTTTAACCATTGAAAATTCGGGTCGGATTGGTTGCGGTTTAGACAACCAACCCGTCAATTAACCAACTGAACCCGCTAATACTTTGGTAATTATCGGACATACAAATTTTTTAACCTTGGATAGATAAATCTTTTTAACTCAGACAAATGTTCAAATTGTTTTGTTTGGTTTTGTTCGATTTCAATAATTGGATTGAAATTTCGATTTGGGGTTGAACTCAAAATCAACCTAACCCAAATCAAGTCCAGCCTAGCCATGCATATTCTATGTGCATAGGAAAAGATTCGATCTATACAGATTTGATTCATAGAAAAAGATGAGACTAGGCGCATAGGCACAACTCACCTATCTAGCTAGACTAATGAATCAATGATAGGGTTCGTCTCGAATCACATTAAGTTTGAACAGTCGACTCATTGTACACATGTCGTCATCTTTGTCATGTAGCAGCCAGAGGAGCTTTAATCAGTATTATTTAAGCTATAAAATAATAATCTTTGGTGTCGGTCAAATGAAATTCTTGAATCTTGATGGTATAAAAGTTTTCAATTCTGACAACAGTCAGAATTAAAGAAAATTAATTAAAGGAAAAAAGTAGAGTAACAAATCACCTAACATGCACGTTACATATATTTCTGTAAAGTCGTACACACCACATGACACCACCCTATTTTTTTAACCTCAATGATAACTGAAGAGCCAAAACCAACGATATGTTTCTAAACACCAAATAGTTAAATAATTAATCTACGATAGTAGTCATTTTATATTCTTACATTTCACGACAGTTGTATCTGTAACGATATGTTTCTTGATCGAGCAATAACATAGTCGTCCATGATATATTGTCCACCGTAGGTTGATGCCAAAGTAATTTTCATTTTATCCTGGTTATTGGAACCTAATACCATCTTCATCTGCACTTAAGTTGACGTTGGATTCAATACAGAAGAAAAACTTGCACGAACCATGTCGGTGCTTGATAGGTAAATTCGATGGTCATATTCGGAGACATGTCTTTATCGTTATAATATCAGTCTTGAAAACTCTCTCCTATCCATTATGCGAAATATCGAAGATAGACAATCAGTAGAATGCTATGTGAAAATGGTTGAGTAGACTATTTGAATCGTCGTGGGGATTCCCGTCCTCCTTACAAATGAGAGGGTCGGCATTCTTTCCTCGTCTGTTAGAAAGATCGAATCTAGATGTGTGATGCTTAAATATTCGAACGAGATTTTTCTTTGTACCCTCATTAACTCACGGCTACTTCCTTACGCAGCTCTAACCTTACCGTCTCAGGTAAGAAATCCATATCTCGATGTGAATTCCATAATAGCCAAACTACTTCGAATGTACATTTTGAACTCAGGATCCAATAGTTTCAAGGTTTTAACATTATC